CCCGGCCCGCCCGCTCACCACTCGTCCTCCTTGGGGATGCTGCTGAGGGGCGGGCGCAGGCAGTAGGTGTGGAAGGCCATGTCGCACTCGTCGCACATGAGCTGCTTGTCCGGGTCCTGCTTGCCCCCGCACAGGTGGCAGGCGCACACGCGGCAGGCCTTGTTCTCGTCGTCTCTGCAGTGCCTGCAGGAGGGCCCGCTCTTCCCTGCGCACGGGACGGCGGGCTCAGCGCGGGCGGCGCCAGCCGGGCACGGTCGGGACGGGAGCCGCCCCCCCACCCCACGCCCGACGCGGAACACACGGTGGGGCGGGACCCGAACGCACTTCTCATCGGGTTTTCCACCACGGGGCTCCCCTCGCCCGGGCGCTCGATCTTGAACACCTCGTCCACGAAGATGATCCGACAGTCATTGAGAGAATCGTCCCTGCGACGCAGAAGCCGTTAGTTAGACCGTTCCAGCTGGCCGACCCGCCCCGGGGGCCTCGGCGGGGACCCTGCCACCTAACGCGGCTCGCAGAGCGCACGGGCAGCTCTGGTCCGAATGCTACGGGGGCCGCGAGCGTCCACGGAGCTCCTCCCCTCGCCAGGTCAAGTCCTACCGGCTCAGAAACCAGACGAAAACGACACGCACACCGGGGTTTCACCACGTGATGCGTCTGAGAGAATAATGTCTAACCTTGCGGCAGGCAAGACCGATGGAATTAGGCATACAAAACCTACAGGTAAAGTCTGATTCAATTTCCTGATCTCAGACTATGAAAACTCTGATAGCTTAACGGGACCCCCAGTGAGGGGCGCCAGGGTGGTTTAGTTAAGTGTCTGGCTCTTTTATTTTTTTTCCAGAGACAGAGCAGGAGCAGGGGAGGGGCAGAGAGAGAGGGAGACACAGAATCCGAAGCGGGTTCCAGGCTCTGAGCTGTCAGCACAGAGCCCGAGGCAGGGCTCGAACCCACAAGCTGTGAGATCATGCCCTGAACCAAAGTCAGATGCTCAACCGGTTGAGCCACCCAGGCGTCCCCAAGCGTCCCAGTCTTGATTCCAGCTCATGTCATAATCTCACGGTTCTCAAGATCAAACATCAGGCTCCACGCTCAAAATGAAACACACATTTAAAAGAAAACAATGACCTCCAGGCATCAATCCAACAACTCCATCAACAACGTCCCCAATGGCAACCGAATGTGGTCACCAACATGGGCCACCTGTGGAATTCTACCTTTGCTAACAACCATCCTGGAAAAGTAAAAACGGATGGAACTTGGGGTGCCTGGGGCCTCAGTTGGTTAAGCATCTGACTTTGGCTCAGGTCAGGAGCCGGTGGTTCATGAGTTCAAGCCCTGCATCCGGCTCTGTGCCGACAGTACAGAGCCTGCTTGGGATTCTCTCTCTCCCTCTCTCTCTGCCCCTCCCCCACTTGCACTCTTTCTCTCAAAATAATAAATATATAAGCTTTAAACAACAACAACAACAACGAACCGGGGGCATCTTGGTGGCTCAGCTGGTTGAGCGTCCAACTTCGGTTCAGGTCATGATCTCGTGGTTCACGAGTTCAAGCCCCACATTGGGCTCCGTGCCGACAGCTCAGAGCTGGAGTCTGCTTTGGATTCTGTCTCCCTCTCTCCGCCCTTCCCCCGCTCATGCTGTCTCTCTCTCAAAAATAAACATACATTAAAAAAAAAAAAAAAAAAGCAAGGGGCGCCTGGGTGGCTCAGTCGGTTGAGCATCTGACTTTGGTTCAGGGCATGATCTCTCTATCCGTGGGTTCAAGCCCCACGTCAGGCTCTGTGCTGACAGATCGGAGCCTGGAGCTGCTTCGGATTCTGTGTCTCCCTCTCTCTCTACGCCTCCCCCGCTCGTACTGTCTCTCTCTGTCTCTCAAAAAACGAATAAATGTTAAAAAAAAAATTTTTTTTTTTAAAGCAACGGAATTGATGGGAATGCGTTCCATGTAACCCAACGTACACAGAATATTATTTCAACCCATGAGGACCGTTACGGCACTGTTAACAAGCTACTTGGTGTTCTTTTCCAGCACGAAGTCCTGACGCCCAGTGTGTGTCTCACACTCCCGGCACGTCTCAGCTCGTTTTGGTGCTCGACAGCACGAGTGGCCACAGCCACGGCCCTGGGCCACATAGGCCCAGGTCGCCCCACCAGTTCACAGGAAGCCCGGGGGGGGAAAGGCGCGTAGGAGGTGGCGCTGGGAGATGCGCAAGGCAAAACCCCGCTGCGGGGATGCTTTGGCACAAACAACCCGGCTTCTGCAACAGAGAGCCCGGCCAGGAAAGGGGGACAGCAAAGGACCGGAGACTGAAAGGGAACAGCAGCTTGAACGATACATGGCAACCTAACCGAAGCCCACGCACGTTACACAGATCCCGACCAAACGGATGGCCGAGGGAAAAAAGGGTATATAGCTGGAAGACGGACCAACGACCGAACACGTTACTCAGAAACTAGGACCGGGGCGCCAGGCTGGCTCAGGCGGTGGAGCATGTGACCCTCGATCTTGGGGTCGTGGGCTCGAGCCCCGCATTAGGCATAGAGGCCACTTAACGGGAATCCGTTAAAAAGTGAAAAAAAATTGCGATTCATCTTTGCGTTGTGATGATACTGTTACAACTAAGTTTCTGAGGAAGAGTCACCTTACGGAAGTAACCCGCAAGAGACGCATGGATGCGACGGCTCAACGCCTGGGCGTTACCTCACTACACTGGGGCAGTGGCATTGTCAGAGGAAGGTAAGTGACAAGAATCCATTGCTAGTGGACACTCCCTTGCAGGAAGGTGAAGGAAGTTCCTCCGACAGGTAGGATATTATACAGGAAGGCATCTGAGGAGCACCAGGAGGAGAGAAAAAACAGAAGGGCAGAAGTGTGGGCACATACGACAGATTAGCCTCCGTGCGTGTCCTCAAGGCCATAGGGGAGGACTGAAACACAGATCCTGACACCGTCCGCTTCTCGGGGACTATGAAGGGACAGAAACGAAGACAGGTTTCCACTCTTCACCCCAAGTGGCAAAAGTGACCACCAGTATGTCACGTGTTCACAGTGAAATCCAGAGAAACCACTAGGAAAACCACGCACAGCGATACACTCGGGAGACCACACGCAAATGTGCACAGAATCCTGTAACACGTTTTAAGTGACCCACGGGAAACGGAGGACACAGAGGGAACAAAGCCCCAGCACAGCATGATTACCGGAAGCGTGAACAGTCTAAACGTGCCAATTAAGAGGCAAGATGGCAAAGTGGATTAAAAACCAACCCAGTTGTAACCTGTGTATGGGAACGTCGCTTCCAATTCAACCACATTGGTTGAAAAGTCAAAGGGAAGAAAAGGACCCAGCATGCAAATGGTAACTTGCAGAAGCCAAGCAGGTATGTCATACCCTCCCCGCGGAGCCAGGAAAACTAACACAACGGAAAGATCTTTGACCAAGAGGATGGAGCTGCCCTAAAGGTGTGTGCACCAGACAAGAGCCTCCCAACTGTGCAAGAGAGGCAGACACACCCCACAGCGAGAGCAGGCCTTCGGGCCTTCTGGTCGCAGGGCCGCACGGGGCACCTGACGGAGAACCAGACAGACAAGCAGCAAGGATCAGTGGTGAGCACCACCAGAGAACAGACTCTCACAGAGTTAAGAGGACATTCTGCCCACCAACAGAATATACTTTTTTGTAAGGAACCCCAGAATATTCACCAAGTTAGACCCTCCCTAGCAGGGGCCATAAAACAAACCTCAACATATTTGGAAGTGAAATCACACAGAGTATGTTTTCTGACCACAATAAAGTCCAGTTAGAAATCAGCAACAGAAGGACAGCTCAAAAGTCTCTGAATACCTGGGAATGAAACTCAATACTTCTAAAGAAGCCAGGAGCCAAAGGGGGAGTCTCAAAGGAAATAAAAAAAAAAAAATTTGAACGGTGAAGAAAAAGAAAAAATACAACATAGCAAAATATGTGGAAAGCAGTTAAGGCAGTGCTCAGAGGGAAATGTATAGCACTGAGTGCTGATGTTAGGAAAGAAAACGGCTCAGATCAATAGTGTAAGTTGTTACCTCAAGAAACTAGAAGAGGAAGAGAACCCAAAAAAGAAGAAGGAAGCAAATTTAAAAGATGAAAGAGTTCCCTGGGGGGGCGCCCGGGTGGCGCAGTCGGTTAAGCGCCCGACTTCAGCTCCGGTCATGATCTGGGGTGGGTTCAAGCCCGACGCCAAGCTCTGTGCTCACAGCTCAGAGCCTGGAACCTGCTTCTGATTCTGCGTCTGCCTCTCTCTCTGCCCCTCCCCTGCTCACGTTCCCTCTCCCTCTTTCTCTCTCAAAAACAAACATTAAAAAAAAGAAAACAAGAAAACAGAGACCAGCAATGAAATAACACACTGGTTCTTTGTTAGTAATGACATAGCTGCAGCCTGGCCTGAGCCCCAGGACCTTGCTCCTAAATGCCAGCATCAGCCTCTGCCCTGGTGTCCCTGCTCCCACACTGCCCCCTACGGTCCATTCCCCTCTCGGCCACCAGAGCTAGGATTCTTAACTGTAGGTGAAAGCATGTCACTCCTGTGCTTAAACGCTCCAATGGCTGGCCGCAACAGACAATGAACACCAGTTCCGTACCTCTCCATGATGCTTGGAGGCTCCCACAGTCTTGGTTCCTCCCACCTTCTTTCCCTCCACTCCACTCGCTTTCTCCCCAGACTACAAATGGCCCTGCCCCAGGACCTTTGCACTTGTCGTGCCTGTGCTCAGGACACTGTTACCCAAATACTTGTGTACGTATACATGATACGTATGATGGAATATTATTCAACCACAAGAAGGAAATCCTGACACCTGCTACAACGTGGATGGACCCGGAGGACACTGTGCGCAGTGACAGAAACCAGACACAGAAGGACACGTCCTATGTGACCCCACTCACTGGAGGTCCCTAGAAGAGTCCCGTCCACAGAGACAAAGAGTAGATGGTGGGACCCAGGGGTGGGGCAGGGGGCAGGCAGTCAGTGTTTCATAGGGACAGAGTCTCAATTTGGGGAGATGGAAAGTTCTGGAGACAGATGGTGGGAGTAGCTACACAACAGTGTAAGTATGTTTGATGCCCCTGAGCTGTGTGCTTGGGAAGGTTTAACATAGTAAGTTTTCTGTTATATATATTTTCTCTCTCTCTCTCTCTCTCTCTCTCTCTCACACACACACACACACACACACACACACACACACACACAGAGGCAAGGTAGGGTAGGGCTTGGCAAACACTTCCTGCAAAGGGCCAGACGGTAACTATTTTTGGCTTTGCAGGCCACACACTCTCTTTCCCAACTAATCAACTCTGCCCTTGTGACACCAAAGCAGCCACAGATAACCGTTGAAGAGATGGGTGTGGCTGTGTGCCAATAAAACTTTATTTGCCGAGGGGCGCCTGGGTGGCGCAGTCGGTTAAGCGTCCGACTTCAGCCAGGTCACGATCTCGCGGTCCGTGAGTTCGAGCCCCGCGTCGGGCTCTGGGCTGATGGCTCAGAGCCTGGAGCCTGTTTCCAATTCTGTGTCTCCCTCTCTCTCTGCCCCTCGCCTGTTCATGCTCTGTCTCTCTCTGTCCCAAAAATAAAAAAAAAAATTAAAAAAAAAAAAAAAAAAACTTTATTTGCCGAAACAGGCAGACGGCCGGATCTGGTCTGTGGACTGCAGTTTGCTGAGCCCTGATGCGGAGTACATCCCTACGTGCGCTTTGCTTCTGTGCGTGTCTATGCCTGCATGCCTGCTTATGTGCAGAATATCCCTGGCAGGTTACAAGAAGACAGGTCTCCAAAAGGGACAAGCAGGTGACCAAGGGAAAGAGAAGAAGGGACAATATTCCTTCGGTACTGTCCGGACTTTGACCCATTTGAGATTATGACTATTCACCAAACTCAAAACGGCACAAAAAAGAGAGAAAGGCAACTTGAAATCTCCACTGTCGGGGCTCAGAGACGGTCCCCCGAGTGAGCGTGTGGCAGAGACCGAGGGCCTCACCCAGACGGCGCTGGTCGGACAGCCGCAGGGCCCGGCGTGTCACTCACCCGAGCCTGACGTTGGCATAGAGCTCCCGTGCCGTCCGCGTCTCACGCTTGCGCAGGATTTCCGCATCATACCAGAAGCCACGCTCCTTGGGGTTGTCGGGGTTATAGTTGAGCATGACCACCTGGCCGACCTCTATCTCCTGCCACTGCAGAATGGTTCGGGCACGGGCCCGCACGTCGCGGGGACTCATCTGGACCACTCCATTCTCCGGGTAGCTAGGAGGAAAACCCCATGCTCAGATCCCAGGGGGAACACCCGACTTCACTCCCTGGGGAAGGAGATAGAAGCCGACGCAAAAAAGGCTGTGCCAGCATGGGTTTGGGTCACTTTGATCACAGTGACCTGTGAAGTCCCCTCCCCAACAATCTCCTTGGCGGGTATGGAAAATACACAGCCAGAGAAGACACACCCCGATTACAGAAGGTGTTGTGGGTTCAACTGTGTGTCCCCCAAAAAGACATGTTGGGAGTAGTAATCCCTGGTACCTGGGAAAGAGAGCTCACTTGGAAATAGGGTCTCTGCAGATGTCATCAAGTTAAGAGGAGGTCAACACTGGGGGGGGGGGACCCTAAATGCAATGACCGGTGTCCTTATTAAGAAGAGGAAATACAACACGGGGCACCTGGGTGGCTCAGTTAAGTGACCAACTTTGGCTCAGGTCACTATCTCATGGTTTGTGGGTTCGAGCCCCGCGTCGGGCTCTGTGCTGGCAGCTAGGAGCCCAGAGCCTCGTTTGGATTCTGTGTCTCCCTCTCTCCCTGCTCCTGTTTTTCTCTCTCTCTCTCAAAAATAAACAAACATTTGAAAAAGGGGCGGGGGGGGCACCCGGATGGCTCAGTCAGTTAAGCAACCAACTTAGGCTCAGGTCCTGATCTTGTGACTTTTGAGTTCGAACCCCGTGTCAAGCCCTGCGCTGACAGCTCAGAGCCTAGAGCCTGCCTGGGATTTTGTGTCTCCCTCTCTCTCCCTGTCTCTCTCTGTCTCTCTCTCTGCCCCTCCCCTGCTCACGCTGTGTCTCCCTGTCTCTCTCAAAACTAAATAAAACATTAAAAAATTAAAAACAGGGGTGCCTGGGTGGCTCCGTCGGTTAAGCGTCCGACTTCCACTCAGGTCATGATCTCGCGGTTGTGGGTTTGAGCCCCGCGTCGGGCTCTGTGCGGACAGCTTGGAGCCTGGGGCCTGTTTCGGATTCTGCGTCTCCCTCTCTCTCTGCCCCTGCCCCACTCGCATTCTGTCTCTCTCTCTCTCTCTCTCAAAAGTAAATAAACATTAAAAAAAAGAGAAAAAAACAAAACAACAAGAAGAGGAACTTTGACAGACAGGAGAGTGACGCGGGAAGACAGAGCCAAAGACTGGAGGGACGCGGACACAGGCCAAGGACTGCCAGCCGCCACCAGAAGCTCTAAGAAGCAAAGAGGGACCCTTCCCTAGAGCCTCCGGAGGGAGCGCCGCCCTGCCGGCCCCGTGATTTTGATTGTGGACTTCTGGAGTCCAGAGCGGGGAGAGCACCAACTCCTGTGTTACTAGAAGCCACTCAGCAGTGCCACGTACTTTGTTGGGGCAGCACCCCCCGCCCCAGGGCTTACTACAGACGACATCTGTGGAGGCAAAAGACTGCTGCCTGCCTCCCCGTGCCTCTACCGGGAGGGGTTTATGGAGAGGGGCTTACCTCGTTACAATAGGAAGGCATTATTCCCAACATGCGAGAATATTGTAGCAGCCTCGAATAAGGCATAAAGTAATTGGGCTGAAAGAAACATTCTACCAACAACGAGGTTACACCTCAGCCGAAGGGGAATCCCTAGATCCATCACGACCGCCCGCAGCGCCTCGTGCCCCCTTTTCTCCAGCAGACGTTCGAGAACCAGGGTTGTCCAACTTTCCCCGAGGCTCAGACAGTGAATGTTCTAAGGTTTATAACTACCCAACTCTACACAAGCAAAACAGCCACAGCCAATATATAAAGAAACGGGCGTTGATGTGCTCTGATAAAGCTTTCTTCACAAATCCGGGCGGCACAGGGCTGGGGACGCGGCCCGAAGGCCGCAGTGTGTAACCCCCTCCGAGAGGCCGCGGGTCCTGCAGGGACGGACTCCTTCCTCCAACTCTCCCAGTGGGTTTTTGCAGAGTGAAGGGAGGATGTGCCAGAAACCGGCAGGGAAGCCGATGGGGCCCCTACACCCCCCCACCCCCCACCCCCGGAATGTAAACTCCCTGGGGAGGCACACGCCCTCTGTTACAGAAGGAGGCGTGTCCCCCAAAGTCCCCAGGTCGGAGCCCTAAGCCCTGATGTGACTGCACGTGGAGGTGGGGTCTCCAGTGAGGGGAGCAGCGTCGAGAGGCCATAAAGGTGGGGCTCTAGTCCGACGGGACTGGAGTCCTTCGAGAAGGAGACACCAGGGCTCTCTCTTGGCCCCACAAAGGACCGGCCGCCTGAGGACACAGTGGGAAGGCGGCCATCCAAAAGCCAGGAAGACCCTGCCAGCCCCGTGATCTGGGATCTGCAGCCTCCAGAACTGTGACATGTAGCCGTCCAGCCTGTGCGGTCTTGTGACGGCCACTCAAGACACCCAAGGAGCACATCCGAGGTCCTCTCCGTGACAGACGGGGACTCCCCGTGCCTTGCACACAGTAAGCGCTCACTAAGTGCTTGTGCACTCCAGTGAGGGACAGACGAGAGAGCCGGGAACCGGTTCATGCAGTGGCGACACAAGGCACGAACAGAATAAACCAGGAAGCGGGGTGGGCGGGGCACCTTTCCAACTAGATGACCCGAGGAGGAGGGGGTCCGCCTGGCTGTGGGTCCCCGAGACGTGGCTCCTCGAGGGGTGGCCTCCTGTGTGGTTTGCTGGCGTGGGTGGTGCCAACCTCCAGGCCCCACATACACGGAGCCAACGCCCCGGCCCAGCCACCCTCGGTGACACTCACTCGTCATATTTGACGTGGTAAATGATGTCATCTTCGGGCGTCACACTGGAGGTAGAGCTGCAGGGCTCGTCTTGCGAAGGTGCCTTCCTGGTCACCCTGACAACCTGCGCCTCGAACCACGCCCCCATGTTCGTGTCCCGAGCATCCACATACTCGTTGACCTGCCAGGGGCGAGAAACCGAGGACACTGGTCCGATCGGCAACGCTGACCACAGACGCCGCAGGCTCTCGGGCACCCGGGACTTCGGGACCGGGATCAGACCCAAGCGCCCACACAGGATTCCTTGGCTGCAGCACCGCCGACATTGGGGCCCGGTCGCCCTCCGGGCGGGGGTGTCCCAGGTGCTGTCGGGGACTGAGCAGCATCCCCGGCCCCCCCGGCTTGCCGATGCCAGGAGCACCCGGAGTGGGGACAGCCACAGACGTCCCCAGGTGTCGCCAAGTGTCCCCTGGGGGCAGAACCGCCTCTGCTTTGCAGTCCCGGGGAGGCCAGGACGCCCGTCTCTCAAGATTAGCTGGGAACCCAGATCTTTATGTGACGCTGGCTGACCTCAAGGGTGGCAGCGAATTCAGGGGTTTCGCGGCCCCTGGGAAGGGCACAGAAGACCCCCGCACAACCCGGACACAACACTCACCACGCAGGATCACAAGGGAATGCCGGAATATTCTGTTCCCACAGGGATGCTCCAGGAGCCCACCCACTGGCGATTTTCACAGCAGGACCGGGGGCCCAGCCCAGGGAATGAGCAGCCTGCGTGCCCTCCTGGGACCGCAGGTGGGCACCGGGGAAGCCAGGGACGATGGAGGGGCGGAGGGGCAGGGGGGCAGGCTGCCCGGCGGCCTGGGGGCGGAGAGACTGGCCGGGCAGGGGGCGGGGAGCACACTCAGCCCCAAACCTGCTGCGCGAGACCCACCTTGTACAGACCCAGCTCCGTCTCGTCCCACGCGTCTTCATCCGCTAAGCCCGCCTTCCCGTCCGCCTCCGAGGCCGCCTCGCCGCTGTTGGAGGACTTGTCCGACTCGCTCTGGCCCAGGCAGCAGCCAGAATCGGTATCTGACAGTTCAGAGTCCTTCTCCTTGCTGCTGCTGGGGGGGAGCACCAGGCTTTGGCGGACCAGGAGCTGGATGGTGTCGTTCAGGCGGACGTCATAGTCGAAGAGAGTGTGGCCGTCCTCCATCTGCAGAGACACGGAGGCCAAGGTCACTGGCCCGCCAGACACCTGCCCTCGCCCTCCCGGTGCCGGGCAGGACTCCGCCACGAGCACAGTACCCCACCTGCCCTCGCGGAGGCCAGGATCTAGCTGAGATTACGGGACGACACGACCTAACACCTCCCGGGGGGTGCACGCTGTCACGCCTTCCCTCGGGGCCCTTACGCCTCCAAAGAGATTCCCTGTGTCATACGGCGAACATTCTGTGAACACACAGCATAACCTCCCGTGTCAGGAGAGGTTTTCTTTCTTTCTTTCTGAACGTTTATTTATTATGAGAGAGGGAGCCGGAGAGAGGCAGGGAGAGAGGGGAGAGAGAGACTCCCAAGCAGGCTCTGAACCATCAGCGCAGAACCCAACGCGGGGCTCGAACTCACGAACCGTGAGATCACCACCTGAGCTGAAATCACGAGTCGGACAGTTAACCGACCGAGCCACCCAGGAGCCCCAGGGAGGTTTTCTTAATATTCTGTCTTTCGGGGGCGCCTGGGTGGCGCAGTCGGTTAAGCGTCCGACTTCAGCTCAGGTCACGATCTCGCGGTCCGTGGGTTCGAGCCCCGCGTCGGGCTCCGGGCTGATGGCTCAGAGCCTGGAGCCTGTTTCCGATTCTGTGTCTCCCTCTCTCTCTCTGCCCCTCCCCCATTCATGCTCTGTCTCTCTCTGTCCCAAAAATAAATAAAGGTTGAAAAAAAAAATTAAAAAAAAAAAAAAGAATATGGAAATATGTTCATAAGATACTGACAATGGGGCGCCTGGGTGGCGCAGTCGGTTAAGCGTCCGACTTCAGCCAGGTCACGATCTCGCGGTCCGTGAGTTCGAGCCCCGTGTCGGGCTCTGGGCTGACGGCTCAGAGCCTGGAGCCTGTTTCTGATTCTGTGTCTCCCTCTCTCTCTGCCCCTCCCCCGTTCATGCCCTGTCTCTCTCTGTCCCAAAAAGAAATAAACGTTGAAAAAAAAAAAATATTCTGTCTTTCGTAACTTTTATCACAATAAAAACGCGTTACCTTTATCACTGGTTCTAAACGGAGGGCAATTCTGCCCTCCAGGGAATGCTGGGTGAGGTTCCCTGTCTCAAAAATGTCTATGGTGTGAAGGCAGAGAAACTCCGCGCTAGTGATTTAGGGGAAAAACTGGGAGCGCAGGCCCCGCCCACACTGGGCAGCACAGCCAGTGCCCACAGGGTCACACGGTCGAAAGCAGGGTGAGCCCCGGTGTCTGCGAGTCACCCCCTCTCTCCCTCCACTCGGCGTGTGTATTTAAATGTGTGTAGCGTCCCAGGACGTCAGAAGGTCAGGCTGTTACAGAACGCAGAGACTCCTGGGGGTGAATGGAACCCCCTAACCAAGGGGGTCTCGCTCAGGGTGATCCTGTCCCCAGGGGACACTCGACGAGACCTGGGATCGTCTCGGTTGTCACAACCGGGGTGCTCCTAGCATGAGCGGGCGGGGCCGGGGAGGCCCCCACAACAGGGAGCGACCCAGCCCCCGTGTCCCCGGTGCTGAGGAGACCCCGTCCTAGATGCACCGATGCACACACCCAACAGTCACCAGTCCCTTTGGAGGCTCTGGCTCTCGCTCGGCCCCTCTGCCCACCGGAGTCCCTGCTAGCAAACCCTCCCCGCCAGCCAACTCCCGTGGGCCACCCTGGGCGCGTCCCGCCAAGGGCGCGTGAAGGAGTTTTACCTCCCGAGCCGCATCCCGGTGGCTCAAAAGGCCAAGGAGTTGTCTTTTGCTAGAAACTGTCCCGGGGCGCTCCGCCAGCTCCCAGCAAGGACCCTCGGTGCATCTAGGACTATCCCGATGCCCCAAGGCAGGTTTCTGCACTGCGGACACATGGGGGCCGGACCGTTCCCTGCAGGACCCTCCTGGGCACCACGGGGGAGCGGCAGTCCCGACCCCCACACGCTCCCTGCCGACCACAGACGTCCCCAGACACCGCCCACCGCCCCTGAGGGCAGAACTCGCAGGTTCAGAGGCAGCGTCCTAAAGAAGAAGAAGAGAAGGGATGGCAGACACGAATCGACCTTCCTTCCTTCCCGATGCGCCGGAAGTGGTGGTTCCAAGGCCAGGTGGCGGGCGATGTCTCACAGCAAAGCGCGGCTCAGGGCCCAAAGCCCCTGCTGCACTGGCTGCTAGTCTTTTCTTTACTGGCCACAGGCCGGAGAATCTGATGAATGATCACCCCGCTCCCCCGGGAGGATGCACCTGGACACGTTAACGCTTGCCTACGGCCACAGGGAATTCCGCGACCTACGGCACGAGGGTGCAGCCTCCGATGTTCCCAGCCCTGCCCACGTGCCACGGGAAGGCCAGGGTCGGGGAGACATGATGCCGGCCCTCCATCACAGGGCCAGCACAGGACAACGGGTAGAGGGGACGCAGATGGGAAGGAAGAGACCAGACTGGTCAACCTGCACACCCATATGCACCGCCAGGCTCACAGCAGCCTAAGGGCGGAGACAACCCAGCGTCCATCAACGGGGGGCGGGCGGGATACGCACAACGTGTCTGCCGCGCACGAACACGTCACTCGGCCTGAGCAGGAGCGAGGCGCCCACACCCGCTGCCCCGCGGACAGACCCTGAACACCTGATGCTCAGAGAGGGAACCAGAGACGAGAGTCCACACGGGGTGTGAGTCCAGAACAGGCTCCTCCAGGGACAGGAAGGGGACTCCTGGGTGCCGGGGGGGGCCGGCCGCCCCGCCCGCTAGGTGGGGAGGGGCTTTTTTTTTTTTTTGGAGGTTTTTTATTTTTGAGAGAAAGCACGAGAATGAGGGGGGGAGGGGCAGAGAGAGGGAGACAGAATCCGAAGCTGGCTCCAGGCTCTGAACTATCAGCACAGAGCCCGACGCGGGGCTCGAACCCACAAACCGTGAGATCATGACCTGAGTGGAAGTCGAATGCCTAACCGACAGAGCCACCCAGGCAACCCAAGGACGGGGCTTCCGTCTGGGGCGATGGAATGTTCTAACCTTGACTGTGGTGACGGATGCACCATGCTGTGAATATAGTCAAAAGCACCAGACTGTGCACTTTAGGGGGTGAACGGCGTGGTATGTGAATCACATCTCAATAAAGCTGTCATTTATTTATTTGTGCTTTTTTTTAAGGGAGAAAAGGAGTCCAAGAAAGGCGGGTACTGTATGGTTCCAGCCCTGGCACACTGTGGAAAAGGCAAAGCCACGGAGACAGCAGGGGCTGGGGTAGGAGGGACTGAGCAGGTGTGGCACCAAGTTCAATTTCAGGGCAGCGAGGCCCCTCTGATCCACAGTGGCGGGTACGTATCGCCACACCTGTCCAAACCCGCAGAACGCACGCCAGGAAAGAACCCTGACGTCACCCATGTGTTGAACGTAACAGACATGTCACCCTAGCGGGGATGCCGACAGCTGGGGGTAGGGGGGTGTACGTGGGAGGCAAGGTGTACTAGAAATCTCTGAACCTTCCTTTTAATGGTGCAGAGAACCTAAGATCCAGGTCATGTCCTCACAGCCATGAGATCAAGCCTCATGCTGGGCTCCGGACAAGGGAGAGCCGGTGGGAGAGAGCTGGAACCAGGGAGAGCACAACCGGGCCCCGAGGGTCCACAAGGGGTCAGGAAGCCCTGACCGTGCAGGAGCAAGAACACAGACAGAGGCACAAATAGGACAGGGAAAGGGGCATTCGGGCTGCGGGCGGGGGGGTGGCAGAGCGCATAATTCACAAGCTGGTCTGGCTGCTTCCTGAGGCCACTTCTGGAACCTTCCAGCAGGGCCCCCGCAGTCCGCAGGAAGCTTGCGCAAGTATCTGCTCTAAGAGAAGGTATGCGTTGTGTGCCCCTCTCCCTCCACCTTGCCTGCCCAAAGCTGTGCACAAACGTTCTGTTCAGGAACCATGGGGCAGAGAGGCTGGGCCCAGGCCTGCCTCATGCCAACGTGTTCGGCATCAGGTGCTGGAACATTCCACGTTTGGATTCATTTTCAAGATCCTAAAATTCCAGAGCCTCTGGCCAGCTCAGTGGGTGGAGCGTGCGACTCTTGATCTCAGGGTTGTGAGTTTGAGCCCCACGCTGGATATAGAGATTACTTAAAAATAAAATGGTAAAAAAAGAAAAAAAAAGGGGGGATCCTAAAGTTCCAGCGGAGGCTAATGGCATGAATAAAAAGTACAGAAGCCGAACGACAGGTGATCTGCACCTCATGGTAGCAGTCCTAACGTTAAAATTAAACTTGAAGTTAACATCTCGTGGAACCAAACTCCGCGCTGAAAAGTCCCTCGAACTTGGTTTGGGGCCGATAATTCCATAAGTGACAATTCAGGTCTAGGCAAAACTACCCACAGTATTTATGTCTGTCTGTCTGTCTCTCTCTCTTTTTTTAGAGGGAGAGAGAGCAAAAGCAAGCAGGACAAAGAGGCTGAGAGGGAGAGAGAGAGAATCTCAAGCAGGCTCCACACTGACAGCATAGAGCCTAACTTGGGGCTCGATCCCCCAACCGTGAGAGCAGGACCTCAGCCAACAAGACTCGGACACCCAGCCAAGCCACCCAGGCGCCACGGTCTTTCTTTTTTAATCCAAGTATGCTTCCTGGACATTTGGAATTTTCGGCCACGCATGCCGTGCGAGGGCGAAATAAACACGTACGCGGTTCGACATCTAAACACGCTGGTTCCCGTTGGGAACTGGCATTAAAAACTTGCCACGCCTACCACTGCTGCCCGCTCCCTGCCCCCTCAGGACAATCTCAAGGGCTACTTCTCAGGGTGCAGGGTGCTGCCCAGAGGCACGAGAGGCCAGGAAATACATGCCCCAGGGCCTGACAAGATGTGGTTCTTCAGTCTGCTCGGAGCAGCCATTTCCGCGAGAGGTGGAGCCAGAAGGGGCTCCAAGAGGGAGGGACCCACAGCTGGAGGAGGGAAGGGAGCACTGGCAGGGCCTGTGGCTGAGCTGGGAGAGGGAGGAAGCAGGAAACTGCTCTGCAGCCCTTCCCGGGGGGCGCAGCCCTGGCCCCTCACCTGCCCTGCTTGGCCTCCAGGCTCTGCAGCAACCCGACACGCAGACAGGACACGCGGACAGAGACGGGAGAGGAGAAAACACGTGAAGCGGGAGCCCGGGTGCGGCAGAGGGGACAGCAGACAAGCACCTCAAGGCCACACACGACCCCTCCTCATCACCAGTAGCTCCGTGGGGTCTTCAACAGGGCCCAAGGGACTCCTGAGACCACACAGTTTGCGCACCCCTCCCCAGGAAAACCTCTCTGCAACACGGTGTCCTAGGGGACCTGTTCTAGTACATTCCGCGGCAATGCTGTTCCTGACAGAAACCCTGGACCCCGAATGGAGGCGGGAAGGGGTGGAACTGGCAGGCCACAGCCAGTGTGACAGTCTAGCCAGCACCTGTTCTTGTAAATAAAGTTTTATTGGGCTCCTGAGACACGCCCACTCATTTGCATACTATCTCCAAGGGCAGGGGCGAGCAGTCCTCACAGAGACAAATATTTACGTAAGGGGTTTGCTGACCTGGCTTAGCGGGAATGCCCTCCAGCTGGGAGCTGGGGGGAGGGGGGGCCCTGCCTCCAACGGGCTGAAGGGCAGGGCTCTGCTGCCCGACTCTGACTCTGCCCTTCAGGAAATCGGGGACAGCGTTCAGGAAGAGCCAATTTGAGCTGGTGGGGGGCGAGGACACGAATGACCCTCGCAAGGCTGTTCTCGGGGCGCCATTCAGACTGATCCTTCAGACTGTCCTTAGCACGGCTTTTGAGGCCCGTGAGGCCGATTTAGCTGTTTTCCTAAAGTAAATTATCTACTAAATCAGTACTTCCCAAGTGGCGGCAAATGCAGAGAACGAGCCGGCCCCCCCCCCGCCCCCCGCCCGGCGTCAGCAAGGCCGAGGGGGAGAAACTCAGAGCCCACGGATTCATTGCACCTTTACCGCTAACCGGCCGGACCTGGCCATGACCGCCCTGCTTTCTCACCAGGCCGCACGACAGCCACTTCCTTGGGCAGGGAACGTGGGGAGATTATGTGAAGAGCACAGCACTGCACCTGAGCTCAAGTCACCACGAAGGACAGCCATTGTCATTTTCATGGGCAGCCAAAAAAAAAAAAAAACTGGTGGGGGGCGAGAAAGGGGCGCCAGATGCCTCTCGCCCTTGCCCAGGCTGGGCCTGCCGCCCGAGTCCCTGCCCCCATTCCGCCTTCTTGCATTTCCGCCAATCAAGCGACATAACCGCCAACCTATTCAGCCTAAACAACCCGGCCACGAAACCCTCCCATATCCTGGAGAAAGACTCAGCTAGGTTCTGCTTTATCGGCTCAATCAACCTCCCTGCAGCCCTTGGACTACTACATGTTTCTTTTGGGGGGGGGGGGGGGCGAGGAAGGATTACAAAGACTCTAGAACATTCTGTGGAAACAGCACTCTTGCCCCCACTGGAAACTGCGCGGCTTTCCATCACCTGTTAGCTTGGTCTGTTTGCAGACTTGACTCACTGAGGTGCTGCTATATAGGCCTTTGTCCCCGTCCTCCCCCCCGCCGCCCCGTCGCTGTCCACACCTCCCGGCAGCCAGGCCAGGGCCTCGCCCTGCATCCTTGGGGAAGTTGCATCACGCTCCAGGCTCGGCTTCCTTATCCGGAAGCCAGAAGTGACGACACATTCCCTCACAAAGCTGCCGAGTGGGGCCCGTCTCTCATCGCTGACATCCTGAAAATTAAAGGTACAACATACGTGTCTAACGCCCGCAGGTGTTCGTGTTAGCGTCCCGCTTTATAACTTACACAGGAGTTGTAAGGACTTCTGTGTGGATCAGATATCACATTACGAATGAAGGGTGATGGGGGTTTGATTACGTGGGCGTAGACATTTGTCAAAACTGCAAAGGGTCTGTCTGCTTTTGGTGCGTCTATCTCACTGTATACAAATGCCACCTTAAAAACACACACACACACACACACACACAACCACACGCAAACTGATATTGAACTCTAATGACAGGCGTGCTCAACTATTTAGAGCGTGAACTAGCGTCTGCAACTTAGTTTGAAACGAGTTCCAAAACATACAGTGGCTTGGCGGACAGAGAGGAGGACAGAGCAAACTGCAATGACGCGAACATGGAGACGCAAATGCAGAGAAGCGTCCGTGGGAAGGCCCAGGGGAGGGTGCTTAGGTGTTCATGGCTCTTGTGACTTTTCTGCAGGCTTGAAATGTAACAACTGTAGCACGCGCCACCTGGGAGAAGCTCACAGCTGTTCAAACTTGAGAGGACAGGATCCAGCCCACCTCTGAATTACACTGTGACCTGTTTCGGAGGTTCTCAGAAACTCCGCTCCACGAAGAGACTGAGTGGCTAACAGAAGTCAGCCTGGATGCCACAGAAATGAGCCGTTGTTGGAGGCGGAAGACAGCACCTCGGCAGAGGTTACTCACAGCCCTGCCTTTTTTCGAAGTCGCAGGCGACCGAACAGTCAAAGCCCCCAGTTCGCGGGACCGGCTTCCCCTCCCCAGGCAGGGCGGGCTAACTCGGATTCTTAAGACATTGAAGTCATCCTGCCTGTCGCAGGAAGGAGGTGAAAGGTCTCCCAAGGGCACCACAAGCCCAAGAAATTAATCATCAGGTCTCATTTCGTGTTAAGCACGCTGGATCCTCCCAGCCCCCAAAAATCCTGGCGGGCCAGGCGCAGTGTTGATTTCTCAATCGAGACACCAGATGGCGGCAGTACCCACTTCAAATGCAACAACAAAGTCAGGCACGCGCACCCCAACTGAAGACTTTTAATCCGGTACAGTCGCTACACCGCTGTCCCTACCGCGCACCCAACTCTGCGATGGCCCCTGCGGATGGGACTGGCGCTTGGTGTCGTGCTATCTTATCCCACGCCCAGGGAAATCCCACTCACAGGACGTGCCGTCTCCCCAGAGATAGCGACAAAAACGGAAACCCCCCTGCTGCCCCTGGAGAAAGCGTCCCAAGTGTGGCTAGCTGGGAAAGCAAAGGTGGCCATTTTAAACGCCACCAGGGGCCCAGGGAGAGAGCGAGAAGAAAGGAGACGGAAAAGTGGGGCCCGCAGACCCGTGGAAAGCACAACGTCCCGCTCGCCCTGCACAGCGGGCCCAGGGCGGCGGAAATTCCTGGCGAGCAAGCGCCATCTCCGGACTCTCAACAAGCGGATCCAAATTTCCAGAAAACAGATTCTGTGGGGCCAAACTCTAAATAGGTACAGGCCGTGGGCCAGCAGCGTGTGTCTCAAAGAAAAAACCTGCTCCCCTCCATCCCAGTGTCTGAGTAAGCGATTCGAGGCTCTTCCTCGAAATTCATCCGTCCTCCATTGGCCACCTCCAACTTCTTTCTCTAGAAATCATTGGGAGGGGAGCTCCAAAAAACCGGGCAGGCAGAGTTAAAAGCCCAAACGCTACGGACTGGAGTGCCAGCTTCCTGCCCGGTATGTCGATCTGCGAGTGGAGCCTTTGTTCCTGGCTCAGGCATTTGAGGTTTCTGTGGAGACGTGAAGCGGGACCGGACGAGGGGCGGGGAGAGTATATGTACTACGCCTGGACCAGGCAAGAACAAAGGTGCTGGGCGGGCGGCAGCCGGCGGGGCGGGTTTACCTGCTTGCCCCTGTAGAAAAGCCTCTGCAGGCCTGGCTCCACGTGGAACAGCCCCTGGATCTTCCTCCTCAGCTCCTCCACCTTGGTCAGCCTGGACAGCGAGTCCACAGTGTGGGCCACCTTGCCGTCCATGGTGCGAACCTGGATCCACATGGCGTCTGCTGGTGCTGAGGGGGAGAGAGCGGGACCCCCAGGTCAGTTCCGTTGCTGCTGCCACCACCAGACCGTGCCATTCTCGGGTCACCTTGGCCTTTGTCCACCCTGAGGACACTAGGAAACTCCTCGAACGCCCTCCCGGCGCGTGAGTCCCCGAACTAGCCACAGCTGACCAGGGCCCGGCAGAGGAAGCGAAGGAATTAATGCATTAATGACCAGCAAGGGCGGAGAGGCGAGGAGGGAGAGTAAATTAGGGGAAGGCAATCGGCGTCTCGGACCACTCACTCCAACCCACTCCGCCTTTCACAGAGGGAAGACAATCATGTCCAGAGGAGGAAGGAGGACACGGCCGAACGGTGAGGGGCCAGGTTCGTTCGTTTATTTCTTCATTCATTCATTCATTCATTCATTCTCTGAATTAATACTGACGCAAAGGGAAAACCCAAAAGTCCGGCGCGGATTGGAACTTCAGAAGTCCCAGTAACTCAACTAAGTGTGACCCAAGGGGGACGATCCCCCCACGCCCAAACCCCCGAGCCCCCGACCCCTGGCGCGCGCGCGACCCCCCCCC